AAGTAGAACAATTAAGTTAACTGAATCTCCTGACCCACTTCAATCTTGTGACCCATTTCATTGGATTTGACAGCAAATCCCTCGAAAATATGTTCATTGATTCTGTCAGGTATCAGTCCTATGTGTCCAGCAGCTCAAATCAAATCCAACATCCGCCTGTCCACATAATCAGGTTGCCCCCTTTTTTTCTTGGCCATATGTCCCCGAGATATTTTTCTGCCTTATCTTATAACTAAGCAACCATTTAGTAAATTATACAGATTATAATCGGTGATTTTGATTGGTCACTTTGCCATTGACAGAGTTAATCCAAAAATGAAGACCTCATTTTTTTCATCCTTTTTTTTTTAAAATGCAGTTGTTCCTTCATTCCATGTTCTAGATATTTGGTGATGTTTTATTTTTACAGATTTCATAATGACAGTCCTGACTATAAGAATAATGATTGATAATTTGATTTTATTCTATCTTTAGTGTTTTTCAAAGATGACATGTAAGTCTATATTTATAGAGCGATATTACATTGAGATCAAACAACTTCAATCAAATCTTTTTGTTCAATTTTTGACCAGTAAAATATATCTGTTGTACTATATACTGTAGTCTGTATTTATAAAGCGATGTTAAATTTAGATCATACCACTTCAAAGCTTCTTACCCAATTTTGACCAGTAAAGTGTATCTGTTGTATTATAGAGCTTTTACTTTGAACTCCTTATCAAAAGTCATATAAAAAGAAATAACAAAAGAAAAAAGTAAATACAATTAAAGAATAAAAATGTAGGCAATAATGATCTGCTTTTCATGATAAGAAGTTAAGAACAAGCATCTAATATCTGATTTTTATCTCATCAGACAACATACAATGCTTGATTAGACAATTTATATGAGGTATCATTGTTAAGCCACACTATCAAATTTCTTTGACAACAAACTGTTGTATGCCCATATATAGTCATGATGTGCTTATATATGGTCATGATGTGATGTCATCATGACTATATTTTGTATGTTATATGTGTTTTCAAATAAAATGTAATAGCCTGGATAGTACTAAGATTCAAAGACATAGAAAGACAATTAGTTTAATAAGATATTGCAAAGCATACACTGTAATAGATGCACCTATTTAGGTACACAGGTGTGAAAAGAAAAATAATGTTCCGAATTCGTATAGCGCATAATGATAAAACCTAGTGTATCAGTGCCATTGCAGCCTCTGTTCAAACCTGAATTATATTTTCCATGACAAATTACAATCTTCTCTTGCAGCTATTTTGTAATGGGAAAAAATAGAATAGGAAATAAGGTTTTTTGCATATGTCAAAACTGGTTCAAAAAATGACATCTTTATCAAATTAGTTTTGAAGTGGAGTGTTTTTTTCCACCTTAAAGAAAATTTACTGATAAGTAAAACTGCAATACTTTGAAATCTTAATATATTCCTGAAACTACTAAAATTTAATTAAGTACTGTAAGCAATAGAACTTAGAAGAAGTTGTTGAGTAGCCATATTAGTCATGAAATATAAGTTTAAGAAATGAGTTTGTAGCACTTTTATGACTAATATGTTTTTTTCTTTACAAGCTACTCCTGATGAAGCTGTATCAGTTTGAGTGAAAGCTTGTGAAAAGAGTAGAATTATAATTAAGATAATATTAAAGTGTCTGTTACAATTTAGTTTATATACTTCCCATAATATGGGATAATATTAAAGATGAAAAACAATTGGATCCCAATTAAAATTTTAAGGATAAACATAAAAATTAAAAGATGGTTGATTCCTATTATAATTTTGATATTATTTTTTTTTTTTTAAAGGAATAATAATGTATTTTTTTTGAATTATTTTTTACTTAATTTTAACTTTTTTTTTTGTATTGTTATTCTCCTCTGAAGCTGGTCTTTTTGTATAACACACCATACCTTCCTTTGTATCCAGTTATACCCCAAGAGAGTACAGTTTTCAACTCTCTTTTGTTTTGATTGACCACAGCTTAGGAGAATATATATATATATATATATAAAAAACACCACCTCAATAATTTAATTTAACTTATAAGTGTCAAATCTAATTAACATCATTTTTTTCTTTTTATTCTCTCTCAACTTGTCATATTCCCTTGTCAGTACAGCCAGCTATTAAGTACAATTGACTTCCGTCTTTCGAGATCATATCCCCGATGTATTCAAGTTTTGCCTTCAGGCGTACCCCGTTTTCCAATCCATTTTCTTGCCCCCTTAGCAGTAGACATCACATCTGGTCGATTAAAGTACCGACTTGACAATATGGGATGTAAGGTTTAATTTTCGCCTCTCACTTTTACCTTGCTATCCAGCATTTATTATATTACTGTAGGAAGCTTTCTTGACACCCATCAAATTACAGACCCCTCTTGGGAATGGCCTGTCGTACGCACTGTAACATTGCCAGCACAATATTACTTGTGTCGAAGATTTACTTGTACTGTAAGTACGTGTTAAAGTTGCTATCAGGTCCTTGTTGTCTTTATGCCGTAAAAAAAGCTTTCATTAAATTATTTTTATGTCAATTTTAATGTTGCTCTTTACAGTCGAATGCCCCATGGGTGTCCAATCTAATTATTGTTTGTTTCTAACCGTCAAAAACTGCGGCTGCCCTTTTAGATTCTGGCCCCCTTTTACCGACCTCCGCTCCCTGATGTCCCCTTACTGTCGGACTCTCTTGTCATGTGGCCTCATATCTTGCTTGACCTTTGTGATCTTCATCAATACACTGTCCTGTTTCTTCCTCTCTTCTCTTTATGTTTGTTCCCCTCCCAATTTTGATGTGGGCCTCTTAGGACAATTAAAATGTCCTTTTTTAATAATATTTGTGGGTGGAGCTTCCAGAAGCCATGTGACAAAATCCTTGTCTGCTTTCTCAGGATAGGCTAATATTTATTTTGTGGCAAAATGATAGTTCAATGTGTTTATCAGCTTTTTGATTATTCATTTTATAAAATAATCCTTCCTTTTAACTATGTATGTCTTATATTTATATTATTTATATTTTTAAACATTTTTTATTTATATTTTCCCATTCTATAGTTGGCAGGCTCCCTGCTGACATTTGTGAAATAAAATAAAAAAATAAAAGAAGACATTTATTTTCATATTGTAATTCACTAAAGGTTGGGTCCATTTTCAAACCATGATTGGTATAACTGACCCTCCCTCCAAAAGTATCTGTTACAATTCCTTGCTCTAATGAAGATATTATATTGCATTATTTTTTTGTGTAAAACTAGCTAATTAAAGTTTTGTTACCTATATTTATGTATGCAATTGTGTTAAAATAAAAATTTAAAAAAATTGAATTGAATTCTATCAAATTCTACTTTTTAATCTATCCTTTAAATATGTCTAATCATATGTAAAAAATGATTTGAAAATCGAAAATAAAGGGTCCTTATACAATAATTATGGACACAAACAATAATAAAATGATTATACTGTATAAACATTGTATAATATTTAGTGCGCAAGTAAAATTATGCTATGTCCTCCAAATAATTACTTTTCTATATTTTATTGATATTGAATTTAATTTCACTATTAAAGCCATAATATCAATTTATACATTTATTAAGCGCTCGTACATAGATGGTTTCACAACTCTATTAAGATTCACGATTCAAGATAATTTTATAGAGTAAAGATAATTGAAAAAATATAAATATTTAAAATTTTTTGATATTTACAAAATAGTGCTATTTAGTATACAATAGTTTCTTTTTATTTGTAAATATAAATAAACTAGTTAAGTGTGATTTATGTGGATTTATGTGATTTGACTATGAAGTTTTATTTTTGGCTTGATAATGTGTTTTACAAGCTCATAAAGTACCTTGGTGATTTGAGGTTAAACAAACTCCTGATATTTTGGATGTAGGAAACTTATAAGCTTTTAGCAAAAGGAAACAGTAAGCAAACACATTATGTATGTACATGAGATGTTCTTGCTTATCTTACTTCAACATGGAGAATGCATTATTGTTAAGAAAGATATGTCAACTTATATATCAATCATATTCTATTTACATTTAAAATACATTATTAAATTATACAATAGACAAAGACAATTCTAGAAAACATGTTCTCAGGGGAGAAACATTCAAGGAAATTAAAAAAAAAACCAGCAAGAAACATTAAAAGAAAACATACACAGTATTACTATGAAATAATTGATTAGAGGGTGCTGGTAAAATGTAGCAGTTATCAATCAATCAAATCAATCAATCTATTTACTTTTATTTTGAGCGTATCCATATATTAAATATAAATATAAAGATAAGTTTAAACTGTTTGTATATACATGAAGGAATTGGCCTCCATAGCATATACAAATTGCAAAAAAGCTTTACTAAACTCCAATCATATAAAATAGTGAGTTAATTTTATAGGGGAGTGTAGCTTATCCATGATTATTTAGCTTTTGCATTGGAAAATAAACAAAAGTCATTGTTTATCCTAAAGATAAAAATGTAATCAGTATTCATTTTTAATCATAAAGGATTAAGCTGTTAGAAGCCCATTATACTGATGTCTGGTAGGGACATGGTCAGTTTCTTTCCACACCTTTTAGTCTCTGCAGTATTTCATCCAGGTTCTCATAAACTATAATCCTACTACAGTATAGATTGTGTAACTAGTTATTACCAAATTAATCAAGTGTATTTACAGGTTTTTTTTCAAACAATATAGAAAAATAGAAAAGTTTATGTTTTTTTTTTTTTGTCCTGTGTGGACTATCAAATTTTATATTACAAAAACATGCCTATATATGGTCATGATGACATCACATCATGACCATATATAGGCACATCATGGCTATATATGGGCATACAACAGTTTTTTGTCAATGAAAATTTGCTAATCTGGGCAGAGGTTTAGAGATTACTCACATTATCTTTCTAAAAAATTATGGGAGGAGGTATTTCAGCCTTTACTAACAACATAGTTTACTTTTATTTTTGTAGCAAAAAAGGAAACTGCGTGTTTTTATCTCCAACACATTCTATCCTGGAAAACCAGATGCTGGTGAGGAAGAGGAAGGCAGTGTTGCATCGTGGGAACTTCGAGTAGAGGGTCGTCTACTTGATGATGTAAGTTTCATTTGTCAGATTTTTATGTTTTTATCCCAGATCATTTCCATAAGTGATAAAGTATTAAGTTTCTTAACCGGGGGGTTTTGCCACCAGGCCCAGTTGGGGAGAAAAACCACAATTCGTCAGGGAGAGAAAAAAGATTATATGTATTTTGTACATATTAGTAGACTTTTTATGACAATCACAATCCCCGTCGGGGATCTTGGCTCCCCTTGTCTGGCAAATCCTGGTGCCACCGCTGTTCTTAACTTTCTGTAAAATATAAATTGATGCTAGTATGTAATATTTGTTAAAACCAATTTTTACATTAGGTGCGGTATTATAAATAAGAATCTACAGTTTAGGATAATTATTTAAAGATACAGTAACAGTGTTCATAATCTGTTATTAATAGAGAATGATTGCTTGTGAGAGCTTGAAATTCAGAGTATTACAAGTGGAAACATTCATATTTTATGACCATCATGATAAATTACCATATTTCTTTAAAAGAAATGATATTCTTTATAAATGTATTTGAATTTATTTGACTGGACGGCTGACCAGGCTTGCGCTCCGAAGTATGATTCAAAGCAAAAGAGAAAGTTTTCATCATTCTTCAAGAGCCTAGTGATTGAGCTCGACAAAGACTTGTATGGACCTGATAACCATCTAGTTGAGGTAAGGATAATTGACATCTAAAAAACAAAAAATTATAAAATATCACATAAAATTAATAAATAACACATTTTTAATGAGTTAAAAAATATATTGTCCCAATCATTGTTTTAAAATTAACTTGCTCATTTGGAGTAACATAAAAATTATCAACTTGAACATTAGTGTATTCATAAAATATTTACCCATAATTTTACAGCGTAAAATGCTAGAAATGATGCTAGTCACTGGAAGTGTTATATTATTTATATTATCCAGTATAAAAATCAGGGTGCACATTCTTTAAATTCAATAATTTCTATGTTAATTATTTCTAAGTTAATAATTTGTATGTTACTTATTTTTTTGTCATTTCATCTTAAAAAAAACTATGAAAAAAGTTAATCAATTACTTGAACTAGATACAGTATTATTAGTTTTCAACTAAAAATAAAATATGTTTCTTGCAAAATAACAAAAAAAAATTCTTTTGATACAACTTATGCTTCTCTTCAGCCTTTCTTAGTTTAAGCTTTCTAATGTTATTCCTTTAATCAAATCTGTATTGTGCAGTTTGTTATTTTTTAAATTTTAGTTTACTTTTAACCTCTATTTTTCACTCTCAAACCACAGAGTAAGGTTAAGTAATTAAAACTTGGTTCTTGAACTACTTAGTGACATTGACTTCATAGATTTTATGTGAAAGAAAAAAAATACAATTTTTTTTTTTTTTTTGTTTTTTTTGTTTAGAGGATGTTATATTTCACTTAATTTTTATTTTTTAAATTTAATTTGAGGTTTTTTTTACTAACATGGATTTAAGGTCAGTTTCTAAAAGTCGGTTCCTGAACTGCTTTTAGTGACATTGAATTCATTGCTTTTTTAGTGTAGTGTGTGTTCCAAAAATGTTAAGTCAGCTTTTCGAAAATCATTTTGACACTTCATTGGGTTAAATTTTGGATTATGGTTTGAATATAATTGAGCAATTGATTGGATTTTTGCTTCAAATTATGACTTTAATGACTCACATTAAATATGCTTCAGTAAAGAGGTCAGATATTTTTTTTATATGGAACATAGAAAATTGTAAACATTACAGAAGTTGATTATCTCTAGAAAAATATTTGCAGAGGTGGTGTTTCATTTATACTCTTGTGACAATAAAGTTTCTATCGCATTTTATCAATCATATCGTATTAACAAAAAATGTAACCTACAGACTACCCACGTAAGGAAAATTAAGCAAATTAGAGTATATAAAAAAAGATATAAAAAAAATGAGGGATAACTTGTGGTTACCTGAACAATGTGTGAACTTTAAATAGGTTAATTTAAAGGAAATGAATTATGTTATGTAAATGCTATTACTTCCAGTTTTGTAACAGCGAAAACACGATCTCAAGATTTCAAGGCTGTTATTTGGATCATCATTCATGATTATTGTTATTAAACAGATTTCTATTGTTGTTTTTTTGTTTATATAAAGAAACTGAGTATTCACCTAATTTGCTTCATTCAGATGATTGTATGTATTATAGGTCAAGGGTTTTTTTTTTATTAAAGGCTTCATAAACTTTTTGTGAGTGATCCAATTTTTTTTATTCACCGTATTAAAGTTTGAGTTTATTTATTGTGATACACCACAATACTATAATCCTTTAGGAGACTCATACCTTCAATAATTAAAACCCTACAATATTGATTGATCTATAAGAAAATACAGTTAGATATTTGTTTATTGAAACAAGAAACTTAAATAACATAACAAATTAGGATGAACTTGAAATTAGCTGTATAAACAAATTGAATAAGGTAAAGATGTTGCAGTGTTTTTCTATGGGAAATATTTCTTGTTATATTCTATTTGTTAAATTGAATTTATAATATAAAAAAGAGCATATGTAGCTAATGAAAGTGAACGCTAAAATTAAAAAGCATTTTATAAAATAAGTAAATTGACCAATGGATGTCTTAATTCCATGTCTAATTGGTCTATTATTGCTTCAATTTTTTCTATACCATTAATTTTAAAATTTATGTATAAATTATTTTTTTTTAGTTGATAATAATGATGAAGCTGTAATGATCGGTTTGATAATAGTAAAATGGTACCTATATAAGTTAGTATTAATAAAAATAAAATGATAATAATTTAATGTTTTTCAGTGTTACTTCCAATGAGTTGCATAACTCTACAAAATGTTTTACCCTTTTATCCTTCTTTAGTATTGCTAATATAATTTGTAATTAGCTATATTCTGCTCTATTAAAAAATGGGAGACATTGGTGCCTTGTTTATTACTTGCCATATGCTAATTACAATATAGTATTTCATTTAAATTTGGAAACATGTTTATTTATTTTTGTATTGATTTAAGATTTTCCCCCTACAGTGATGCGATATTGCCTTGTAAAAGAGAGCATTAGCCTGCGCTTGCCTTTAGCCGTTGTATTGTGTAATTCCATTCCCAGCGGGTATGTTTGTATTTTAAAATGCCTGAACAATACACCCGGATTGGTTTGCCTGATTTCTGGCCTTGTGCTATGTGTCGGTCCTACAATGTGAACTGAGCGCGCACACTTGCATCCCAGTAACATCGTTGTCGCTCAGCCAAGCGACAGAAATTGGCAACTGATTCACACGATTACCGACTCGCAATCAAGTTCAATGATTGTTGGTGGATGAACGCAGGTTGATTTTGATACAAGGTCAAGGGCAGGATTGCATTACATTTGCACTTTTCTCCTATTGATATTCCAACAATAACTCTGGTAACCAAATTATTAATCACTGGGGCCAGTTTTCAGCCCCATCACACGCTCTATATTACAGATCCTTTGAGCCAGAAAGACCAGTAGTCAACTGTTGTTATTATCTACGTTTTAAACGTCTTTCATTCATAACCCGACGCAATAAGATATTTATTAGTCTTAGCGAAGCGTGCTTTAGTAATTGTGCTATAATTTGAGTGTTTGGCAGGAAAACTAGGCCGCACTTAGTATAGGTGGCTTTCTGGGTTATCTGATACCTTTTTTCACACATTTCATTCTGCAGAAATTTATTACAATTTTCTGAAGTGTTTACAATGGCAGAGATTAAGAAAAATAAACTGTGACATAAAAGGCCCTTAGATTCCACTTGGACTAACAATGGGGATCAATTTGTTAGTTAGAATTCCTATTACATTCATTTGGAGGGTAATGAAAATGCCTTTCTTTAACCACCTGAGATTTAATATAATTTATGTCCCTGTAAAAATTCTCGAAAGTTCTGAAAGTCGTTGACAAATTAATTCAGTGGGAATAACTTTAGGCATTTTATTATGAAATTTCAGTGCCTCAAGTTTGCTTGTTGCTGTATCTTACTTTACTTTCTTTACTATTACAGTAATTATTATTTGTTTCAATATTTGTTCTGCAACTAAAATTTCTGTATTGTAATTTCCTGTTCTTGGTAGTATTGTTGTACATTGGTTGGAAATGTACTAATGAAATCTTGAATTTAAAATTTGTGGTTCCAAACTTTTATGTTTTTAGTTCAAACAATACAACTTTTCTAGCAATTTTATCTGATGTACATATTGTCATACATATAATATTTTCATTCCAAAATCATTTAACATAATGTTTTACGTCAATGACTCTTCTGATTAATTATTTATAACATTGTACGTTTCTCGTTACTGTGTAACATTTTGAAAAGCAGTACTATAGTACTGAACGTGCCTACAGTATAAAGAAAGATTAAATAAATTTCAATACAATATACTAAAGAGGATCAAATAATAACTCTTTAAACAACTGACTTAAAGTAACTGATGATTTTTCAATTACTCTGTACTTATATATTATTCAGTGCAATATATTTCAATTTTAAAAGCTTTATTAGTAAGAAGATTGAATCTCTAATATTCTTACACTGCATTTCTTTTAGATTATTGGACTTCACCAATTTTTGTTTTGCTTTTTAGCATGGTTCTAGACAGATCAACGATAAGATTATAACTCAATTGTGCTTGTTCTGACTTGTCCCCTTCTTATGTTTAATATTGTGAGGGGGATAAATCGCTGTCACTGATTTACAGTTACGCATGTTCCCACACGCCCATTAGATTTTTGGCCAATCAGACAAGCGTTTCGGAAAACTCTACCAACCTGACCACTTTCTTGCTTTCCTCGAACGTGGAAAATTTGGATGAAAACTGGAAAAAATAAGGACGACCTTGTTTTATGACTCAATACTAAAGACCATGTGTAAAAAATTTGTAGTAATTTACCGTATGTCAAATAATAACAGAAATGTCTTCCCATCACTCTTTCCATGTTGTTTACAGCAATTCTCCCGTACTTGTCCAAGTGTTAGCCCTGACCGCCTTTTCCTATCATCTTGACCACGTACTTACAGTTGTTTGGGGGGTTTTTGGAACAATCACTAAAATTGATATTTTCAGGTAGGATTGCTTTACAATTTCTGAGTTACGTGACCAATCATGTACCGAACGTAGCTGTTTAATTCTCGGGGTTTTCCAGTCTGTTGTGGACCTGTGTATGGTTGATTATAATAGTCGTATGTCCTAGTGTAGTGTTGGAACGTGTTGGCTTTGTAGTTTTTGACAGATATTGCAAACATAGATTTCGGCAATTTTCTTCTGACCTAATCAAAACTCACTTAATTCAAATATATTAACATTTTTTTTAAGGTACAGTATTTTTTTTTTTTAAGTTTATGTTGAATCTATTGAACAGAGAAGAAATGAAAGTTATATCTTTATCTATAAATAAAACAGTTTTTTTTTTCTGTTCCCTTGATTTCCTTTGATTACTAAGTTATCAATAATAAAATGAGAACAATAGCATTCCTTAAATTGATAAATGATAAATAAAATGATTTATTATTATAAATGTTTTCATTCTAACGCTATTTTTTGACAAGTGTAATCTTTTTTGTGATTCTGAAAGTGCTGGTGATTTATGAATATAATATTTAAAAAACAAAAGTGGAATTGAGCACATAAAAAAGATAA